GCCGAGGATGGAAGTACCACAGAACAAGGATTCCTTAAGAACCAATGCAAAATTCAATAGGGAATGTAGATGTCTCCCAAACGGACCCAATGAAAGTAATTTCAGGGAAAATACCTATAGATGACAGAAATATGACCAAAACTCTCGGAAAACAAGGACAACGTTCAAAAGGAAAGCACAAAGAACAAGCAGTAATGACCGAGACAAGCTTGATGGCCCACTAGAAAGGAAGGGATCTATTCTTAATCCACCCAAATTTTCATAATAAAAGGTTCACACATCAATGAGATATTCATTAACAGGATGAGAGACATCAAAGTCACGGCTCAGGGAAAAGACGACATTCACACAAGATCCATATTTAAAACACATATGTAACAAAATTTACATGGAAAATATCATAAATTGGAAACTATCGTTATGCAAAGTTTCAGCCCAAACTGTCAGATACATGGCAAGGAGGGCAGTGTTCCTGGACCTTTCCCCAGAAGGAGGCCGGAGGTAGAGAATGGGTGGAAGGACCGTGGCCTCAGCAACTTGGAGAGGAGCACTGTGCCTATGTTCAGTAACGCTTTAGGAGTCTGGTTCTTAACTTCAGAACAAGAGGGCATGAACTCTGGGGGGGAGTCTAGTCATCGATTCTGCACTGAGGTGCCATCAACTACAGTACAGGACTTATATACATAATAGAAGACAGATGGGAACAAAGGGGAAAACCCAAGGGGGACTTACCCACTTGCTGGCTCAGTGAGCTCATGAGAGAATCGCCTTATCGAGCATTGTGGAGTGGGTAGGTGAAGGTGGAATTAGCGACAGCTACTGGAGAGTGGGAAAACCTTTGTGGAGTGGGCAGAGGTCCTAGGAGGTCCATAGTAATATTGGGTAGGTGTCATATCCATCCCCGGCCATCGACTTCCGGTCCCTCCGATTACTCTGGTCCAACTCCGCTCCTTCCTCACTAACCTCGGAGCTCCCATATTCTGCAATCCTCTCGGTACCCCTCAATGGTCACCACCCCCTCCTTTCAATTTATTACCTATGCCTCCCTAAGTACGGAGCCCCGAAGACTTCCGGACAGCTCCGACATCCACTAGCGCACTCCTGTCTCCGCTGGGCAATACACTCGCCTGCCCTGCAGAGCCCACCTTCGGGCCTATCCCTCCTTTCCGTTTCTGGGTTATCGCCTGCCTTTCCGCTAACCCCGCGACCCGACTCGTCGGTAATATTCAGTCAGCTAATGTTTAACCCCGTTAGCTCCGCTCCGTTCGGCTCCACCAATTGCGGACCCATCCTCGCTGTAACTATATATATATCCAACTTGTACATAGGTTACACTCCAGTAATAAAATCAACTAGAGTTACCCCCCTTCGGTTCTGATTGCCAGTCAGTAAGTTAGGGCACGGACGTGTCACTAGGCACAGCGCTCTTGGCATAAGTCGCTGAGGCCAAAGCCCTCTGTCATGGAGACTCTCCCTCATCTCGAATCTGGTCTCTGACAGTAGGTAGAAATATTAATAAACATATAAGGTGAGGATAAGAGGTACCGGAGAAGGTACTGGAGATTGGAGGCAGAGGTGAACCAGAGGGTATGGTGGAGGTGTGGGGGGAGGATGGACCAGAGGTGGACTGGAGGCATGGTGGAGTAGAGTGGAGGTGAGGCGGAGTTGGTATAGATATGACACAAACGGTCCAGCCATTGTGAAGTTACACCAATGACAGGAATATAGAAATCCACATTATGCTTAAAGACACATGAGGGTGGCAATGCAAAGGGAACTGGCCATCAGAACCGAGATCCGCACTTCAGCAGATTGCAAAGACCAATTTCCATCCAAATAAGGAAGACCCCAGTCAAAACAAAGCATGGAAAGTACAAAACCACCTTAGATCATGAGGGAAAAATCTGAAATAAATCATGGAAGCCCATATTGAGGATACAAACACCCGTGCATACAATAAATTCTGAACAATTAAACAGAAATGGTGCCCACATACAAACGAGTATGAGAACAACACACCTGATTACCAAATGTGCATGTGAACTTTTGCTAACTTGACAAATACCGAGAAATAGAGTACAACTTTAGTACCATTGGAAAGGTGGGGATAAATGAAAATTTATGATGCTGAGAATGTGAAAAACCATTCAGAAATGAATGAGATACAAGGACATGAAGCTAGTAACCTGAATAGCGTGGGAAGACAGCTTCTAGAGGTCCCGAGCCCCAAATAAAATACATAAAAATATGATATCTTGAGGATGACCTATTATAACAATGAACATACATAAAAAGGACTAGGATGCAATAATACAAATGGGAATTAGGGGAGATGGACGAAATCCACGAAATCCACTAAACTATGACGGACCATGGTGGGAATTTTAGGGAATGATATACTAATGAAGCAGAGGGCTATAACACATTTGTTTGATCAATTCTTGACTACTAGCAACTTTTTCTTTTGGTTCTAAACCTGAATAATTCACTCATTTATCATTTCAAGTTTCATTTCAACCAAATGTCACCGGATAAAAATAGAATAAATCAGCTGAAGGTCTCAGCACAGCCGTATGTGCAGTAATGTGAAGTTTGAATTCAGAATGACCGAGTCATAGCAAACTTAATGGTAAATATGAGGAATTTGAAATAGAAAACTGCAACAAATGCAGTGCAGTCAAGTTCTAATTAAACCATTAAAATAGCTTAGGTGAGTGTTAGGACGGGCAGATTTGGACGACTCCAGAGTGGAATCGGAGACTTAGTGTGGAAGGACCTTGGCCTCAGCGACTCAGGCGGAGCGCTGTGCCATTGCTGGTTGTCCTGGGGGTCCCCAATTTCGGATCTAGCAGAGGGAAAGTCTCTTGGGGGGAATTCAGGTCGATTTTGGACTGAGGTTACAAGTTACTATGTACATTGTATATAAGGAGGGGTCCAGAATCAAAAGGAGCAAGGGTACTCCGAAAGGAGACAAAGGGAGCTGAAAGGAGGAACAACACGGAGGGTCAAGGGTTTGACTCAATGGTGTTTCCCAAAGGAGGAGTGAAGGGCCAAGGCCCAAGGAGGAAGGAGGGAGGATGGGAGTGGGGAATGGCTAGCTGACTGAATAGAAAGGAAGCAGCAGCCCAAATAGGAGTGAGGGAGTATAGCGGAATTGAATGGAGCAATGCAATAGTTGCAAGGTCTGACATAAGTCCAGAAAGTCCGAACTCGGAAGTTAAACTCCGGAATATTGGCAAAGGTAATTAAATGGAATGAGCTAACCAATACAATGGGTATAAGCGGTGGTGGGGTCAAAGTCCGAGGTCGGAGCTAAGACCGGAGGTTCTGGAGATGGAGACGCGAATGGGATTCCGGAGCGGAGGCCCAGAGTCGGGAGCATAGGTGTTGCATACTCATCTGGAAGGTGTCGAGGTTGGGGTCGGACCTGGAATGTTCCGGAGTTGGACCGAAGGTGGTGTCAGAGCCGGAGGTGGGATAACCTCTTGGGAGTCGGCAAGGAGGAGGTGACAGAAGGGAAGTAGGACTCTGGAAGTCAGGTTCGGAGTTCCGGGAGCCCGGAGCAGAGGTGGGATTGTATGGATATGACAGCAAGGAAGGACAATAAGGATTCTAGGTGCAGTCTGACTGCAGTAGAACTATAGTGTGAAAATTTCATTTTTATTCAGTTTGAGGAAAATACATTGTAAATAAATCCTGTAACTACGAGGTAGAGCATGAAAAAGGAAGGCAACCCAAGGAGTATAAGAGGGAGACCCTTTCTGCAACTTTTTGCCCCCCCCCCCCCCCCCCTCAGAGAAGTAAGAAAATAGAGTATTATTTTTCTCAAGCATTTCTGGTTGTCACTCCAGTGCGAAAAAGTGATATACAGTTAAGATTGCCACTGTAGTAAAAGGCAGCAATTAAGGAGAGGAATATTAAGTAAATATTTCAACAGGAGAGCTGGTTAACACTCCAGATTTCAAAGTGTAAACACAAAACAGTTATTTTGCTACTGTTAAAACAAGCAATAAAAATAAGACAAAAAGAAGACAAAAATAAGACAAGATCAAGGGACACTTCAGACACGATCTAAAACCATTAACTGAGTACAATCTTTGAAAATTCACCAAGTAGAAGATTTAATTCAAGTTAAAATCCAAATTAAACAATCCTACACAGAATTACACCCAGACAAATTGAGAAATTACAATAGAGGAACAGCTCCACAGGGCTTTGTTTATCTCAGAAACTTTTAACCTAACCCATAAAATAGAATTAGCCAAAACACTCAGATTGGTACTATAATTACAACAAATATTACTAGTACACTTCCCCATCCTAACTAAAGAACCAGGGAACAGCTTGGTGGTGGTCTTGTTTGAACCTCCCAACTGACCTTCCTTTGTTCTCTCTTTCAATGTATGCCCACTCCACACCCCGCAAGGGCCCCAGTGCCAGGTGTTACATCTGGGCCCCAACCCCAGATGCATCCCCAACATGAAGAGGATGGAGAAGATGACAGAGAGGAGGAAGGTGGAAACACAAGAATTGAGGGGCAAAGCATGGATGAAGGAGATGAAAGGGAATTGCAATGATTCATTGCCACATGTGGGCTGACCAAAGAGGTATTGCATGCAAGACAGGCAGTGGAAATTGCAAGGCGATGCAACATCATCCCAGAGGACAGATAACATGGGAGTCACATGAGGAGACAATATGACTAGCCAAGCATGAAGACATGGCACAGTTCAATGCATGGTTGTTGGTGATGGCACAGAATCATGTTGCAGAGGAAGGTGGAGAAGGGATGCTCACACAAACAATTGCAGTGACAACTTTGGAAGAAGTGCTGAATGGAATGCATGAGAGGAGCAACGATTTCATGTGGCAGACGATTGAAATACTGACAGAAAGCAGCAATGCATCCAATGATGTAGATGTCTCAAGCCTACATGAAGATCAGCTTTGTGCATATGCAATAGTAACACCTTGATGCGAGGATTCATGGAGAGGATGCAGAACAATTGCTGATGCTCCTGACTGGGGAAGGTGGGACAGGGAAGTTGCAAGTGATTCACAGTATTTGGCAATACTTCAAGAGCTGTGGCATGGAAAGGCAATTGGCCCTAGGCACATACACAGGAATTGCTGCCAGTCTCATAGGAGGGAAGATGCCTCATGTGTTGTTCAGATTGATGGCTCAATGGTCAGGGAAGCCAGGGGCCAGTAAAATCTGCAAACTGGCAAGCATGTGGGCAGGAAAGGAGTACCTCATAATTGATGAGTACTCAATGATATCCCGATCACTGATGGCTTGCCTCTCTACAATAATGGGGCTAATCAAGGCCCACAATGGGGAGGAGGAGAGGAGCTGTGAATGTGATAATTTGCGGGGACTTCAGTTCAAGCCCATTGTGCAGAAAAGCAGTGCAGCTTTGTACTGGCCAATATTGGTGGCACAGAATATGGGAGAGGACATTACAGGGTCAGAGCTATACCAACTATTTACCACAGTGGTGTGCTTGACACAGCAAATGCGAGTCCAAGATGCGGAGTGGACCAAATTCCTTCAATATGCACGACACGGGAAATGCACAACTCCACACTTGAAGATGCTTGGGAGACTCCTTGTGACATCAAGGGATTGTCCCCCAACAAATGCAAGGGAGGCCCCTGGAAGGAAGCCATATTGGTGACGCCCCAACACACAGTGAGGGTCTTGTGGAATGAGCAAGCAATGCGACAGCATTGCAGAATGACAGGCAGACAGTTGTACAACTTTCATGTGGAAGACACAATTGGGGGGTGACCATTAACAATATGCAAGGAGTGGGCGATGGCATGGCATGTGCTGAAGGATAACAGTTATAGTGGCAGGCTGAAGCGTCAAGGTGGACTGGCAAGGAAAGCGCCCCTGGTGGAGGGATGCAAAGTGATCATCACCACAAAACTGGATACCAACATGGATATCACAAATGGGGCAAGAGGAGAGGTCATCAAAATATGGGCAGATCCTTGAGAAATCATAATGACAGCAATTGTCATATCCCGGAATCCCGACCCCACGCACTCCCACCACACCACACCTTCCTAACAACTTCACCATCCCCTACACCATGCCTCCCCACTCCCCAAGTCACCTTCCCTCCTGACTGTCTCAGCTCCGGTCTGGTTGCGGCACACCAAACCTTGGCTGCTCCCATCCCGGAAGCTCGGTCCCAAGTCGGAACATTCGGAGACCCCGGATTTGCTCCGATATCCCGATGGACCTCTGACATCCCGTGACATGCCCTTAAACCATTCCTCCACCCATTTCATTCATTTGAGTCACCTAACATCCTTCAGATATGCAACTCCGCTTTCGGAGCTACCCGCATCCTTTGGTGATCTCCCTCACGTTATCACTTATTAGTCACCTTCCATTCTTAGCACGACTACCTTCTTCCTACCATTCAGTCGGCTAACCCCCCTTACCCATTTGTTGTTCCTATTCATTTTCCGGCCTCTAACTCTGCCCTCCTTGGCCCAACACCTCAGTTCCCCATTTAAGATATTGTTCAGGACCTTTTGGTACCTCTCGGTATCATTCGGCACCTTTTGGTGTTGTCCCATTGTCATTCGGACTTTGACTAAGTCCTTCCCATTCCCCTTTATAAATACCCATAGGAACCTGTAGTTCCTCAGTTCTAATCTCGACTAAAATGCCACCCAAAGTCCCTCTGAGTGAATCCCGTTCCCATTCTACAAGATACCTCAGACATAAGAAATACAAGGACTAACTGAGACATAACGGAGGCACAGCACTCCCTCCGAGTCGCTGAGGCCGCGTCCTTCTTAGAGCCTTTTGTACCATCCAGCAGAACCGGGCCCCCCCCTGAGAAGCTTTGGTCCACTACCGGAGCTCTCGGATCCCCCTCTAGTTGAGCCCTGCCTGCATTTGGACTCACGCATTTACCCCTACGATCCGGGTTTTTGACAGCAATCGACAGTGTTCAAGACATGAAATACCCACCAATGTGTGTTGTGGTGAAATTGGATAGATACCGAGGAAAGTGCATCCAAGGGTTGGAAGAGGGAACAATCCCCATATTTCCGATTCTTCGATCTTTCGACATATTCATGCCAAATGGTGACAAAAAGAAGGTCCACTGATGCCAGATCACGATGGATAGTGTGTATGCATTTATGGATTATTGTGCACAAGGACAAACCATTGACTACTTATGGGGAGACATCAGGACACCTCTGAAAGGAAGCCTAACACCATTCAATGTGTATGTGACATTGTCGAGGGCACAAGGCCGATCAAATGTATGATTGCTGCAAGACTTCAAAGACAGCCTCTTCATGACGACACCATGTGAGGTGTTAGAACAAGAAGACAAATGATTAATGAATCTCAATAGAGAAACTAAGCAAGACTGGGAAAGAAGGCAAGGATGAAGAGGACAGAAGATGGATGGCTAGATGGGAAATAGCAAGAACAAAAGAAAGAATATATCACATGTCTCCTGCCAATGAAAGTGTGGGAAGGCTTGAAGTAATCAAACAGCAAGCTGGAAATTATATTGAATTTAACAATTGCATCAGATGACCATGCAGCAACTAAATGGGTGAACACATCAGATTCAGTGTCAGTTTCCACATAATATTAACACTGGAGAGTGACCTGCTGTGCAGGTAATAAGTTCCACTGATTACCTGTATTGCTAATCTTCTTTTTCAATCCCAGCCCTATTCAACCACTGATTGCAACTATGCTTAAGGTTGTCCCTCAAATGCTGTGATACAATTGTAAATGGTCCATTTCCCAATATCAATCTATGGCCTGCATCAGCACACTATCTACTCACAAACTTAGAGTGTCCCAATGCCAATGCTATGCCAAGTACCACTGAATATTCTTCCTTCCAAGAAACAAGCTAAGTGCCCTTAATGGGCTTATTAGAATGAGTCCTGAGCCGGACATAGATGCTGATCATGCTGACCCTGACCTGCCTACCAATGCAGCTACTGGCCTGGGAAATGCTCTCGACCCTGAGGTGACCCCAAGCCCTGTAGATGATGTGTTAGAAGCAGGGCCAGATGGTGCAATTGACCTTGCAGGGAGTGTCGAAACATTCAGCGAGCCTCTTGCCAATTTGGCTCCATGTCATATCCGTGCATACCCGACCCCGACCCGACTTCCAGACCTCCACCCTCTTCACCTCCGGAGTCATAACCTACCGCTGCCGTTCCGATACTCACCTCGGACCGAACACCGCCCCTCTCGCCACCCTCCTACTACTTCTCCACCCTCCTACTCCGCTCCTCCTTCACAACACCTCCACCCTCCCGTCACCCTCCTACGCTTCCTCCTTCCGCTCCGATACTCACCTTCGGACCTGACAACTCTCCTTTCCGCCACTCCCTCTTCCTTACCTTTCCCCTCTCTCCTCCCTCTGGTACTCCTCCGCCACCCTTCCGCCAAGTTACGACCTTTCACTGCTGTCCCGTACTTCGTACTCGGACACCGCTCGTACCTTTGCTCTGAGCCTCCATCATAGTCCCTACCTCAGACTTTGACTCCACCTCGGTCTTAGTCCATTGCATTGGTGACCTCATACTACGTAAACACCATTGCCAATATCCCTCAGACTTTCAACCCTGCCTCCATAACCTCCGTAAGCTCCACAACCCCCGAGCTTCGCGGATCGCCTTCGGCACTCTCGCTGCCTGTAATGTATTTCTCGCGTTTACCCCTCATCCCTATTTGGACTACTGCTTCTTCCTATTCTAGCCAGTTAGTCATCATCCCCACTTCTCCTCATCCTCCTGCCCCTCTGGGCCTCGCCCTCCCTACCTCCTTTCGGACGTATCACAGGTCCTGCCTTATGACCTTCGGTACCGCTCCGCTCCCTCTACCCTTTGTTCCTGTTCGGACATCTTCGTTCCGATTAGTTTACCCTTTGTTCTCCTTGTGCTTTTGCCCCCTCCATTATATATATCGGCGCTTGTACATACTCGTTTTGGTTCAGTCCGAAATCGACCTGAAATGCCCCCTAGAGACTTCCTGCTCACCTACTGTGAAATTAAGGACCAAATGGACAAACAGCAATGGCACAGCGCTCTGCTTGAGTCGCTGAGGCCAAGGTCCCTCCACGCTAAGTCTCCGATTCCACTCCGGAGTCGTCTGTATCAGCCCCGTTCTAACACTCCACCTCCTATGGCTATTTGGCATAATCAATCAGGAGTTCCAGCAGTAATGAGAACATCGAAGAGATGTTCTGGAATCAGAACCCTTGTCCTCAGAGCCTTCCCCAATTTCAACAATCTTTAATGCTATACACTCACCCAGCAAATCCTCTCAGCAACAAAAGCCAATGAAAATTTGGAAGGAAATAATGGAGTTGTATTTGCCTAAAGAATCAGGAAGAGTGAGAATTCCCCTGGCCTCCCACCACTCATCCCAGCCCCATTAGATGGTGAAACAAGACAGCCAGACAAGATACTACAAACACATCACAATCTTCCCCAATGCACTAGTAACAGCCAATCGCTGGCAGCTGATAGATGGCACAATAATTGATGTGTACATTGAGATGCTGAAAGACCTCACTGACAAAAACCTGCAGGACCTGCTCAGCAGGTTGAGTGGCTCTACTTTTGAAGGGAGTATCGGTGATAAGGACCTGCTTGATAAAGGTGAGCTGTTACTCAGTGACACTGTCTCTGGTACCACCTCATCATCCTGTGCTCCTGTCACCTCATTCTGTGGCAGTCTGGCTCCATTGCAAGCGGGCTAGAAATATAACCCCCTAAATGCAAGAAATTCATGGGGAGGGAGTCTAGGATGTCCTTAGCTCATCCTAGGTTCAGTCCAGGCTAACAAAACAACAACAGTCACAAAAACTCTTAAAGAATTACATACCCCTGGTCCTGTCAGGGCACACCTGCCTGACCTGGGTCCACCCAGGTCCACCCAGCCCCACCTCACCCACTGCCCTGCTACCCATCCCTCTCCCTCCTCCTTCCTCCCTCTTCTCCCCTCTCCCTTTTCTCTCTCTCTCTATTTCATTCTTCCCATCACTCTCTTTCTGTTTATTCCTTCTATTTGCACAGACCACTTCCCTTGTATCAATGTACTGTTGACCCGTCTGACCCAGGCACCTCAGATGGCTTCCCACTGTGCCCAGCATGCATGCCTGCAGCAGACGCTCTCGGGATCCCCCATGGGGACACCTGGATGGCTGCAGCTGTGTCCAAGGATGACATGGCACCCATCATGTGACCCAAGTATAGTTTTCCCCTTTAATAATAACTCACCTTTTCCACTTCAGTCTAAGTGGCCAGGGATGCTGTCCCACCTCAGGCCTGCCAGTATGCATGCCTGCTTCGCACCCTGGGAGGGTCCCTCTGCTGGGTGCTACACCCGGACCCCCTCTACCCCGGACACATCCCTGACAGGTCCATTTGGACAATCATCAGGGGTTCCTTATAATACTCAAGGAGTTAAGCTTAGGGTTTCTTTTCTACTTGGATCTCTTAGCACTACAGTCTCTTTTGTAGTCAAAAGGGAGGTCCTCCTTCCATCATATGTGTACAGGGCTTTTAAACACATGGAATGGCAATATTGTGGAAAAACAAATGAAAAGAAAATATAAAATGAAAGATTGTCGTTACGGGCACCATGTGGACAGTTATGTATGGCCGATAA